ATAATTTAACACACAAATAGAGTGGTGGAACTATGATGTCACTTTGTAGGCAAAAACCCGGAAGCGAGTTAGTATTTTAGCACTTCCGGTTCCATCGTCCCACAGTCAATGGGTTTTTTGAATGGGAGTTTGTTTAATTCCCCTAAAATAAGGTCCATGGTTCACACAAGCTCAAGATACTTTCACGTTTTATTCTACGGCATAAAACACACCAGTTACACACCTTTCATTAGTTTTTATTTAAACTGTTACGTTTCTTAAAAAAGACGGTTGCTTCAAGTTGCTAAATGGGACTACAGGCGCTGTCGGAGACATTAAACGTCATCATGCCAAACAGTTTATCAATTTACAGCATATGTAGTATATAGTATAATTTATAGTAAAATTAATTGTAGAATTTTATATTGTTGTTAGACAATGTTTTTTTTTGCTTTGACCATAAGGTAAACACATATAATTATTCCATGTAAACACATTTACGGGATTATTCACGGTGAAAGTAAAACTTGAATGATGCATAGTGCCACGTTAAAGCCACGTTTTAGCCCAATTTAAATGTTTACGACCGCATGAAGCTGTTAGAAAGCATATAGATTGAGGATTTTCTAGAAGCAAGGATAAAATAACATTTTGTGTACCCACCCTAACAAAACGATAGCTGAATTGTGGTACTTTATTCACTAAAATAAGTTTAATCTTACCATATCTAAAAAATCGCTCACTCTGCTGTTATTTAATAAATTAAAGGCACTAGAATTTATTTGGCTCTAGTTTTGTATTTATTCCAGTTTATATGAAAAGGTTAATAGAGTGGATTAAAATTAATATACAGAGTAAATCCTTTTCACTGTTAAAAATAAGTTTGAAAAGTTGTGGGAAGCATGGTGGTGGTGACGCTGAAGGCGAGCGACCATGGAGGTGTAGTTCGTTTATAGGCCGATCCGCCTACAAAGTGACGTCATAGTTCCCCCACTCTATTACAAAATATAACATTAAAAGTGTATAAATCACTCGTTTTTCTGAAGAAACATTGTCCAACAGCGACACCAGCAGGTAAAGTTACAGCAGGAGTCCGCGTCTCTCTCGCGTCCCCAGAGCCCATTGCATTTTAAAGGGGTCATATGATGCGATTTCAATTTTTCCTTTCTCTTTGAAGGGTTACAAGCTCTTGGTGCATAAAGAAGATCTGTAAAGTTGCAAAGACTAAAGTCTCAAATCCAAAGAGATATTGATCGGAGAAATGACAAACAACAAGCCCTACTCTACACTGCTCAAAAAACTCGCTTTAAATATATAAAATATAAAAACTCTTTAAATATAAAAAATGTACTTACAGTCTGTGAGTCAGAACAGCCAGCATTGTAGTCTACTCTCCCAGGATCAGGAAACAGTTCTCCATAAAATGCGCTGCACACATCTGAATATTTGGGTTGAACTGTTCTGGAACAGTGTTGTAAATACAACTTAACCACTGATTTCTAGTTGTGTCCTCTTTTGGAAGGCCAAACAAAGTAGTTTCGCTTTCACAACGAAACACACAGCAACAATACTACAGCGAGAATAAAAGTTACGCCTTCTTTCTTGGGCGGTGTTATGCAAATCTTCCCACATCGTGAAGTAGACATGTAGTTGACGTAGTTGCGTGGTTGACTCTTAACTTTTATAAAGAATATCTCTTTGGAAGAGCTTGTAACACTCCAAAGAGAAAGTAAAAATTGAAATCGCATCATATGACCCCTTTAATTATACATGTTTGGGTTGAGTTTTTGTTAAATTTACCCCGTTTTAACCAGCAGGTGCCGCCAGCCTGTGATGTTTCGAACTCTCCGAAACAGTGAATCATTTTGCGAATCATTTTGGTTCAGTTGATTCAGAATTTGAAAAAGCCTCATTTCTCTCATCACTTGTTCATTCTGATACGTACTAACGATTTTAATTGGGTTTTATTAATTACGTGTTATTAATAAAATCCTATTAAAATAACCATATTCAACTGATTCATTGAAAAGATTCGACTCTCAATTCATTGACGAATCGAACATTTCTAAAACGCACTGTGGGAGCAGGAAGTCCTGCTAAAGCTAAAGTTCGACTGTTTAAAATAGCATGTTGTTTTGGTTGACTTATGTTGGCGTTTAAGTGGACTGGACCTGACAGTGTTGTTCTGAATTAAAACTCTGATCAAAATGACTATTATTCATGGATATTTGTGATGGATGTTACCTAACAGAGGTTCGCCACTAACCTGCACCACATCCGCACTTTCTGGCTCCATTAGAACGGATTGCACCTTGTAGTCACTGTAAACGGTCCAGTACTTCAGTATTTATTGCTGTCGCTCTGTGTCAGTACGTTTACGTCTATGTTAGCATAAACATGCGAGTTTCTAAGATTGCGAAGCATAAATTAGATAAGTTATGTAACAAAACGCTTACTTCCTCCAGGAGGCGCTTTGCTGGCTCACAAAGTCGAATTCTTAATTTATCTACGTTCAAATCTTAAAACGGTTTTTGCGCCTACTGGAGAATTTTCACACCAAAAAGTGTAATCGTTTTAATCTATTAACTGGTACCTGACATACCAAAAAGACCAAATGAAAATCTGATCAAGCTACCTGTACTAAACGATGTTTTGAAAAGCTTTACGATGTAATTATGTTCCACTGTGATTGGTCCAACCTGCCCAGCGCGGAGGAAAGTAACATGTACCACGTGACGCCGTTTGCGCTATACTTCGGTATCGTTCTGGGAAAGGTGCGCGTCTCTCTCGGGCTATGTGGCTGGTCCTGTGGATGCCAAAAGCGGTCCTACGTTGCACAAAATCGATACAGGAAGTAGCGTCAAGAACGCCGGGCTCTCTCTTGCTTTACAGGAACAGTTTTGTGGCTGAATAGGGTCGGATGCTCCTCTGTACCAGACTGGCTGCTGTCACTCGAATGCTGCCGTGTGGATCTGATGCGTGACCGTCCACATTTCTTTCTTTTTCTTTGTAAACTGTACTATTCTCTCTCTCTATCTGTCTTTTGTTGCGCCTGCAGCTTTCTGATGCAGCACTTTTTCCTATTAATAGCATCATCGCCTGCTCTGAGTGTAGAAGCGGCACGATTGAATATATCATATATCATAATTAAATAATTTACTTCGGAATAATATCAGTGAGACATTTTAATAGTCATTGATTTAAAAATACACAGTAAAGAACTGGATATTTGAACCAATCATATGCCTGACCAATTAGAGACAACGTATGGGCCAAAGCCACGCCCATTCAACTCAAGCTATTCTAATCACTATTCTATTTGCTTATTCTTTTTCCATGGTTTGACTGAGACGTCTTCGACGCCCTCTTGCGTTACGGAGTGGAAAGAACGGTGCATGCCCGGACAAGTTCAAGTACTGAGTAATAAATTCACATCCAAACTGTCTTAAACACACCTTTTATTCCTAGAATGTAACTAAATATATTTATTACATTGTGTAAGTAATGTCTACATCAAAATACACCCTTCACAAACCTAAATAATTTAGAATCAGAATGAAGGTATAAATATTTCAGTACAAAGTCATTAGATACCAGGTACATGAGCCACATGAAACATCCAGGACAGAGAATGATTTAGAAAGCTAAACAATTCTGAGTTGTATCTGTTGCTTTAAAAGAAATATAGTTGACCAATTATTGAAAATGACACTAGGTCATGCGTTCGAGACAATTTTGGAGACCTACCAGACAAAAGACTCAGTTTTGCAGCTTATGTGGGACTATGTGCGACTCAACCACTCTGAAACTCTTCGGTCTCCTCTCTTTCCTGTGATTCTGACTGTAGCGTCGTATTTTGTGCTTTGTCTACCCTACCTAGCCTGCGACATCATGGGAAAGAAGTGGCCAGCTATTAACCGGTACAAGATTCAACCTGACAAAATGCCCACAACTGCAATGCTCCTTCACTGCAGTGGAGTAACTCTTTATAATCATGTACTTCTGGTGTTTCCTGCAGCAGTAGCGCAGTGGATGTGGAGACCTTCTATTCCCCTGCCTGAACGAGCACCTACATTGCTTGAATTTGCAGGTGGGGTGACTGGAAACCTTCTTCTTTTTGACTTTCAGTATTTTATCTGGCACTTTTTGCACCATAAGATCCGTTGGTTGTATGTGACTTTCCATGCTATCCACCATAATTACGCCGCCCCATTTGCTCTGGCCACACAGTGCCTTAGTGGATGGGAGTTGGTCACGGTGGGCTTCTGGACCACGCTCAACCCCATTCTGCTGAGGTGTCATCTGCTCACCACCTGGATGTTCATGGTGGTCCACGTCTATGTATCAGTGGAAGACCACTGCGGATATGATTTCCCTTGGTCCATGTCTCGTCTGATCCCATTTGGTGTTTATGGAGGTCCGAGCAAGCATGATGTGCACCACCAGAAACCTAATACTAACTTTGCACCCCATTTTAGTCACTGGGATAAACTGTTCGGCACTCATGCTGAGTTTAGTTTTGCTAAAACTAAGTGATGAACATGCTTGCATGTAAATGTATATTCAATTTGCATGTTTGGTTGCTTCAGACAGAGCTTAAACAATGCAGAACTTATAACTTCAGATTCCACTTTGATTTTCTTTGTATAGGAACAGTATTAAAAGCATAATTTCAGTGCAAAAAAAGAAAGAAAGAACAGATTACAGAAAGAACATATAATTAGTAAAATTACTAAAAACGAGTACAAATTCTTTTTTATCCAGCCCTTCACCATTATGAAAGAATTTAAATCTTCTTAAATCAAATTTTATTTGATTTAAGTTGAGAACCTTTTACAGAGAAAACTCTTCTGGTAACATCATGTCTATTTATTTATTTAGATAACAACTTTAGCTTTATTATATTAGCATTTAAAAACTATACATTTATGCAGCTTTAAAATGCAAAAGAAAAAAAAACTTTAAAAACATAAATGTAGTCTATTATCCATAATTTTTAAAGCTTGATTATATAGTGACCTTTTATGATTTATCACTGTAAAAAAAAATGTTTTCAAAGTTTATTGAAGCATGTTTTACAAGAAAATATAATTTCAGCTTAAAAATTTCTTTCTGCTTAAAAATGTCATGTTTAATTTATCGTGTTACTTGCTATTTCTTTGTAATTATTTGTGAAATTTACTAGCAATTTTGAATGAAAATTGTTTCAAAGGAAATCCTACAGCTTTTTTTGTGTGTGATTGTGGATTTAATTGTTTGGGTTCAAACCGTGGCACAATATAAAATGTGAGACAAAATCATTGCATACATAAGTTGAAATACTATATATATCTTTTTTTCTTAAGCTATAAACAGGTGTGGAAAGGAAAATATGTAAATTAAGATATTTCTAATTATTTTAGAAATCTTCTGCGTTCCTCCTACATGGTAGAAAGATGCCAAACCAAGCATGGCAAACTCAAAAGCAAATTTTCACAAGAGGAAGTTTTTTTTAAATATATATATAAAGAACGCAGATTTGCATATGCGTGTGAACTCAAAATAGATCGCACTACAGTTGCCTCTCATTTCAAATCCTGATTTATCTCTGTGTTGTTAATATTCTCCCAGATAACACACATAGGCCTACATCTGCAAGATGTCTATTAAAGATCGCTTCATCGGGAAAGCATCTATGTACAAACTTCTGATAGACATCTTTAAGATGTCAGTTTTACATACATTCTAAATCATAAACATCTTAAAGACATCTTCTAAACGTCTATTTGACATCTGATAGGAAACGTCCTATAGACGTCTTGCAGATGAGCAAACACTCTAAAGAAATACGTCTTGCAGACGTCAAATTGACGTCTCTGTGATGTACGTGTGCTATCAGGGCTCTGTGTTGTTTTTCAAGACAAAATTGTAATATTTAAACATTTGTTGTTTACTTTATGGAATAGTTTACTTTGAAAACCTGCCTGCACTCTTTAATAAGCTTCAGCCATGTGTTGGGTGTATGCAATGCATGTAGGTTTACCATTGATCTGATTGATTGTGATTATGCAATTCAATTATGTAACAGCAGGTGTCAGTAAAAAGATTACTTAAATCCATAAAAGTGTAACTATCTTGCATGTGAACGTCTACTTTCTATATTTAATAAGTAGATGTTTTGAATAGTAAGAAAATACGTCGTTCTTTGTAGTTACAAAAGATACAAAATAAAGAATAGTTAGTATTTTATGAAGAAAATGTAAGTGGCGCGTGCCAGTGCAAAACTTGTCATGCTTAATGCTTTGCTAAAGCCAGCGCTACTAATAAAAGTCTGTTAATAATATAACGTCATAAAATGTATGTGTTTCAGTTATTTCCTACATAAACATAATTTCTCTGTCATAATCGAATTATGTGTTGGACTTCTCGACTTCTCGCTGTTTCGTGACACTGCGTCAGCTGGCCGCTGTGTGGCGCTGTTCCCGGATCAGACTCAACCACAGCAGTGGTATGGCAGCCGGGAGACAGACAGCCATTTTATAATCCGCAGCCAGTCTGTTAAATTTGCTATTTAAACGGCTTTAGTCCATATTTTAATGATGGGTCAGTGTGGGATTACGTCGTCTAAAACCGTTTTGGTGTTCCTGAACCTGATATTCTGGGTAAATTGGAGATGTTTAGGGCTGAATTTGGGAGTGCGTCAGTGTTGTTAGATGGACACAGTCAGGTGTCGAGCAGCTGCATTATTACACACACTCATTTATATCACTAATACGTTTAAAAAACCTGTTAAATGCATGTTTTGCTATATTTTATGTGCCGTTTGTGTTTATATTGCATTATTTAAAAAACTGCTCGTTGCTGTGTTTTGCATTGTTTGTTTACATATTCCTTACAGTCTTAAAATTCTACATTGATCACTTTAATGCTTAAAAAACACTGACAGTATACGAATAGTGTTATTTATGTCTTGTATACTTCAATGTGCGTGAATTGGCAAGTCAGCTTCATTGTTTCCTTTAGCCCCAGAGCAGGTTAGTAGTATTGTTTGACATGTTAAACCTATTCCTCCTCAGGCAATTCTTTTGGATGAATATCTGAAGGATAAGGCCATTAAAGGCTAATAGCACTTTCCTCAAAGGATTCCATCATCACACAACAAAGGAGGACTTAAAAAAAAAATGTTCACAACGATTTCGCAGGATCAAATGTGAAACATTTGTAGAAATGCTTTGATTTTTCGACAAATGAAAAATCGACTTTGATTTCCGTTAACTTTCTTGTGATGTTTTAATACAGTGCATTTCGGGTTTATAATAGTAGTTGTAAACGTGTGTGTGTGTGTGTGTGTAATATATATTAACAATATAATATAATATATAAAATTTGTCTTCTCTCATTGTATGCATCCTTTGTTTCAAATTATATATA